GCCATTCCGAGATATATTGCCATGCAACTTCCATCATCATCATATACATGACTTGAGCATTCATCGTCATATTTCTTTGCATGATCGTAAGATAGCTAGCATGATGTTTTCATGGCTTGTCCGTTTTTTGATGTCATTGCTACGCTAGATCATTGCACATCCCGGTACACCGCCGGAGGCATTCATATAGAGTCATATATTTGTTCTAGATATCGAGTTGTAATATTGAGTTGTAAGTAAATAAAAGTGTGATGATCATCATTATTAGAGCATTGCCCCAGTGAGGAAAGGATGATGGAGACTATGATTCCCCCACAAGTCGGGATGAGACTCTAGACGAAAAAATAAAAAAGTTAAAAAATAAAAAAAATAAAAAAAAGAAGAGAAAGGCCAAAAAAAGAGAAGGCCCAAAAAAAAAGAAAAAAAAGAGAGAAAACAAAAAAAATGATGAGAGAAAAAGAGAGAAGGGGCAATGTTACTATCCTTTTACCACACTTGTGCTTCAAAGTAGCACCATGTTCTTCATATAGAGAGTCTCTTGAGTTATCACTTTCATATACTAGTGGGAATTTTCATTATAGAACTTACTTGTATATTCCAACGATGGGCTTCCTCAAATTCCCTAGGTCTTCATGAGCAAGCAAGTTGGATGCACACCCACTTAGTTTTAGTTTGAGCTTTCATATACTTATAGCTCTAGTGCATCCGTTGCGTGGCAGTCCCTACTCCTCACATTGACATCAATTGATGGGCATCTCCATAGCCCGTTGATTAGCCGCGTCGATGTGAGACTTTCTCTTTTTTTGTCTTCTCCACATAACCCCCATCATCATATTCTATTCCACCTATAGTGCTATGTCCATGGCTCACGCTCATGTATTGCGTGATAGTTGAAAAGGTTTGAGAAACTTCAAAAGTATGAAACAATTGCTTGGCTTGTCATCGGGGTTGTACATGCTGTGAATATTTTGTGTGGTGAAGATGGAGCATAGCCAGACTATATGATTTTGTAGGGATGAGCTTTCTTTGGCTATGTTATTTCAATAAGACATAATTGCTTGGTTGGTATGCTTGAAGTATTATTGTTTTTATGTCAAATGATAGACTATTGCTTTGAATCACTCGTGTCTTAATATTCATGCCATGATTAGACATATGATCAAGATTATGCTAGGTAGCATTCCACATCACAAATTATCTTTTTTATCATTTACCTACTCGAGGACGAGCAGGAATTAAGCTTGGGGATGCTGATACGTCTCCGCCGTATCTATAATTTTTGATTGTTCCATGCCAATATTCTACAACTTTCATATACTTTTGGCAACTTTTTGTACTATTTTTTGGGACTAACATATTGATCCAGTGCCCAGTGCCATTTCCTGTTTGTTGCATGTTTTATGTTTCGCAGAAACCCAATATCAAACGGATTCCAAACGGGATAAAAACGAATGGAGAATTATTTTGGAATATTTGTGATTTTTGGGAAGTGGAATCAACGTGAAACGATACCCGAGGTGGCCATGAGAGTGGGCCACGCCACCCCTCCAGGGGGCGCGCCCCCCTATATCGTGGGCCACCCGTAAGGCGGTTGACGCCCTTCTTTTGCCGCAAGAAAGCTAATTTTCAGAAAAAAAATCACGGCGAAGGTTTCAGGCCAATCGGAGTTACGGATCTCCATATATACACAAAACAGTGAAATAGAGCCAGGAGAGAACGCAGAAACAGAGAGATAGATCCAATCTCGGAGGGGCTCTCGCCCCTCCCAAGCCATGGGAGCCAAGGACCAGAGGGGAAACCCTTCTCCCATCTAGGGAGGAGGTCAAGGAAGAAGAAGAAGAAGAAGGGGTGCCCTCTCCCCCTTGCTTCCGGTGGCGCCGGAGCGCTGCCGGGGGCCATCATCATCACCGTGATCTTCACCAACACCACCGCCATCTTCACCAACATCTCCATCACCTTCCCGCTTCTATATTCAGCGGTCCACTCTCCCGCAACCCGCTGTACCCTCTACTTGAACATGGTGCTTTATTCTTCATATTATTATCCAATGATGTGTTGCCATCTTATGACGTCTGAGTAGATTTTCGTTGTCCTATCAGTGATTGATGAATTGCTATGATTGGTTTGAGTTGCATGTTTTATTATTGGTGCTGTCCTATTGTGCCCTCTGTGTCGCGCAAGCGTGAGGGATTCCCGCTGTAGGGTTTGCAACATGTTTATGATTTGTTTATGGTGGGTTGCGTGAGTGACTGAAACATAGACCCGAGTAAGTAGGTTGTTCGCGTATGGGATAAAAGGGGACTTGATGCTTTAATGCTATGGTTGGGTTTTACCTTAATGAATCTTTAGTAGTTGCGGATGCTTGCTAGAGTTCCAATCATAAGTGCATAGAATTCCAAGTAAGGGATGATATGTTAGCTTATGCCTCTCCCTCAAATAGAATTGCAATAGTGATTACCAGTCTAGTAACGTAGTCAGTTGCTTAGGGACAATTCCACAACTCCTATCACCACTTTTCCACACACGCTATATTTACTTTATTGCGTCTTTATCTAAACAGCCCCTAGTTTATGTTTACGTGCTCTTTATTATCTTGCAAACCTATCCTATCACCCCTACAAAGTACTTCTAGTTTCATACTTGTTCTAGGTAAAGCGAACGTCAAGCGTGCGTAGAGTTGTATCGGTGGTCGATAGAACTTGAGGGAATATTTGTTCTACCTTTAGCTCCTCGTTGGGTTCCACACTCTTACTTATCGAAAACTATTGCGATCCCCTATACTTGTGGGTTATCATATGCTTATGTGCAGTTTGTTTCTAAACGACTAATTTGTTCCTATTTTGTATTCAATTGCATACTTCATGTTTAAAGATTCATAATTGAACCTCTCTAAAAGAAAACTAATATGTACTACAGTCCTCTCGGTTCCAATGTCGCTTTGCACCCAATGTTTCATAGAACATTTGTGCTACTTTTGGTGGAAAGTCTTTGGATATGATATGTTTCATTCATTTTATAGGTTTGTAGAACTAGCCGAACACCCCAAGCAATGATTATGGCACACCTTAGTTTCTGGTTGTCGCTCAAGGCTTATCTAACATGCATGGAGAAATCAAATTGTTCATTAGGTTCAATTGATTTCTAGTCAAGCAGGGTGTGGCGGGTCGGCCGGGGTGGTGGAGCGGCAACGAAGGCAAGAGAGAATAAGGGAAGGAGAGAGAATGGGAGGATGGAGGTGCAGGGTCCGAGAGGAGTTTTGGGTGGCCCAGAGGTTTCGGTGTCCTACGTGTCTGCTGTCCGGACTCCCGCAAAGCCCCTGCCCAGTTTTCCTCGGGTTTGGCAGAAAAACTGCGTCCGGACCGCACGGCGGACTGATACAGGACCATGTTGGATAGCTAAACACGTCCCGACCGTGCAATCTGAACGGTTGCTGACGGTTTGAGGCTCCGCTTTGGAGATGCCCTAATGCTAACGTGGCACACTTGGTGAGATGGAATGCTGCATGTTGAGAGAATTGCATGTAGTGGGGATTAACTTTTTAAAGAATGTAGGATTTCCTATCCGCGACAACTATAATTTTCATGAAGGATGTTTGATTCATCATGGTAAAAAATCCGACGTTCGAGTTTTAGTTGGATCTAAGCAAGCAGATAACAAAATGTAAAACAAAAGGCTGACCCCCCCCTCCCCCACCCCGAACCAAAAATTGTGATGCGACATTGTTTGTAAATATTTAGGGATAACATCGTACGAATACAAAACAATACCGATAATGGTCGATTGGTTGTGGAAGGAGTTCTGAAAATTTTCATATGTAGACCCTAACTTTCGTATGACTATGTACGAATAGCTCCCACTAAAAAAATGTTCGAAAAAATCAAACTAAAAAAAATGAAAATAAAATGTAGGAAAATTTGTGTCAATTCGGATAGAGCTGGTCTGATGTGAGTCATGAATGATGTTTACAGAGCCCTCATGAATGCAACGCCTGGACACCTCGGCTCTTCCTAATCGATTGTGGAATATGGGAGTAGTTAGGTCATTGAGGCCCTCTTGAGCTACACCCCCACACTAATATACTCCCTCCATCCCAAAATAAGTGATTCAACTTTGCACTAACTTTGATACAAAGTTAGTATAAAATTGAGTCATTTATTTTGGAACGGAGAAAGTATTATTCAACACACAAGCGCAAACTCAAACGCAAAAGAAAAAAAACACATGTCCTTTGCTGTATGTGGCATCATGGCAATTTGAATTTCCACCTTTTTACCCATATATCTATACATCCGAACAAAATTAACCCTATCTAAAATGAGTGAGAGCCCGTTCTTTTGCTCTATGGGGCATCACGGCAATTTGTCGAGACTTCTAAATTCGTTATCATATACACTGTAATTAGTTTAGAAACCCTGATGAACAAGATTGGCGGCTTATGAAAAAAGTTAGGAAGGACGCGGCTTATTTTTTAAGCTGCCAAAAGAACCGGCCGAGGGTCTGACTAGTCGGGCCTCCATGTGAGGTATACATGGGTTTTTTTAGGTCAAAACTGTAAAGTTGTTTTGAAGGGTAAAAGTGTAAAATCGTTTGGATAGATGCCAAATGCAAATGGTGTGAAGATGTTTGTTATTTCACGGTACAGAGCTGTGCTCACTTTTCTTTTTGAGAGAGCCGACGGGAGCGCACGGCCAGCGGCGAGGGAGGCAGCGCACGGCCGAGGGCCGTCTCGTCTTCCCCAGCTCCAGGGCCGCGGCTGGCGGCAGCGAGCAGCGTCAGGTCTCCTGTAAGTCGCAGCGCCGTCCGCATCGACCAGCTCGCCGACAGCCAGATCTCCTGTAAGTCGCAGCGTACCTCCTACACCAGCCGTAGCTCGATGGTGAACATCCTTGCGGCGAGCCACGCCGGCGGCCCTAACTCTGCTCTATTATCGCCCAGGCTGCGCCGGTTCGGTAGGTGGTCCCATCCTAGCAATCGAGGGATTCTTCAGGCCACGTGGAGCTATGCGCCGCCGCCATGTCCCCGTCGGCAGACGCATCTTGGAGCAGAAAATTCAAGACCGGCACCGTGCCGGAGACATTGGCAGACGCATCTTGGAGCAGAGCATCAAGGATCGGTACCACGCCGGAGGCATTGGCACCGAGGACGCACTCAACCTGTTCGACGAATTGATCCAGGTTGCTCAGCCCTCCTCGATCAGGGCCATCAACTGCCTCCTCACCGTTGTTGGCCGTGATTGCCCTGCGCTCGGCGTCTCCCTCTTCAACCGTGTTGCAAGAGCCAAGGTGCCTCCACACAATATCACCTATGGCATTCCAGTCGACTGCTGCTGCCGTGCTGGCCGCTTGGACCTTGGACACTGCTGCCATGGGACACGTCATTAAGTTGGGATTTGCAGAAGAATCTATTGTCAATTTCAGCCACCTACTCAAGGCCATCTGTGCGGAGAAGAAGACCAGCTGTGCAATGGACATCGTACTACGAGTAATGCCTGAGCTTAACTGCACACCCAACATTTTCTCCTACAGCATTCTTTTCAAGGGTCTCTGCAACGAGAAGAGAAGCCAAGAGGCTCTCGACCTGATTCACATCATGGTTGAGCATGGAGGTAGCTGCCAACCTAATGTGGTGTCCTATAGCACCGTAATTGATGGCTTGTTGAAAGAGGGTGAAGTGAACAAGGCTTACAGTCTATTTTGTGAAATGTTACAGAGGAGAATTTCGCCGGATGTTGTGACCTGTAGTTCGATTATTTCTGGCATGTGCAAGCTTCATGCGATGGACAAGGCTGAGGACGTTCTTCAACAGATGCTTGATAGAGGAATTCTGCCAGATGTTGCTACATATACTAGTCTAATGCATGGATATTATTCATTAGGACAGTGCGAGGAGGTGGATCGGATTTTCAAAGAAATGTCTAGAAATGGTGTTCAACCAGATATTGTAACTTCTAATATACAGATGGATTATCTTTGCAAGAATGGAAGATGTGCAGAAGCTAGGAAGATTTTTGATTCCATGGTCAGTTTGGGCCAAAAACCGACTGTTACTACCTACAGTATTCTGCTTCATGGGTATGCTATGGAAAGATCTTTTCATGATATGAATTGTCTCATTGATTTGATGGTGGGAAATGGTATTGCGCCAAATCATTTTATCTACAACATACTCATATCTGCATACGCTAAAGAAGAAATGGTTGATGATGTATTGCATATATTTACAAAAATGCGGCAGCAAGGATTGAACCCTAATGTTGTGAACTATGGAGCTGTAATAAACTTGCTTTCCAGTTTTGGCCGAATGGATGATGCTATGTCCCAATTCAATCAAATGATAGCTGAAGGGTTAGCTCCTGATATCATAGTTTTTAACCCTCTTATTAGGGGTTTCTGTTCTTGTGGCAAATGGAAGAAGGTTCATGAACTATTTTCTGAGATGTTGGATCGCGGCATCTATCCCAACACAGTGTTCTTCAACACAATTATGGATCGCCTTTGCAAATATGGAAGGGTTATGGAAGCCCAAGATCTCTTCGACCTGATGGTACACATGGGTGTGAAGCCTGATGTGTGTACTTATAACACACTGATAGGTGGATACTTGTTCGTTGGTAAGATGGATGAAGTGAGCAAGTTACTTGACAATATGGTCTCAATTGGCATGGAACCAGATGTTATCACCTATAACATACTGATTGATGGTTACTCTAAGAATGGAAGGATAGATGATGCATTGGTTGTTTCCAGGGAAATGTTGGCCGGGAAGGTTAAGCCTTGTGTTATCACTTTTAATATTATGATTGGTGCATTGCTTAAATGTGGCAGGAAGGAAGAGGCTAAAGATTTGTTTGATGGTATCTGGGCTAAAGGATTAGTGCCCACCGTTGTTACATATAGCTTAATGATACAAAAACTTATAGAAGAAGGTTCTCTACAAGAGTCTGATGATCTATTTGTTTCTATGGAGAAGAATGGATGTGCTGCCGACTCCCATATGCTAAATGCTATAGTTAGAAGCTTATTTCGGAAAGGGGAGGTGCCCAGGGCTGGGACTTATCTGTCTAAAATTGATGAGAGGAGCTTCACCCTTGAAGCTTCCACAGCTAGCTTGTTGACTGCACTTGCTTCAGGGGGAAAAGGCCAGGAATACAAGGAGTTACTCCCCGAAAAATACCACTCTTTTCTGGAACAGGGCACTGATTGAAACCTTTTCTAGGGATTTTGCCTAGATACTCTGAACTGCTAATCGATGCCTGAACTTTTCTTTGTGGGTTACATCTCCCAACCTTTTCTTTTTATTGTACGTCTAAAATGAAGGTCACTTCTCTTACTAGTAATTCTGGGAGGAACTTGTACCAGTAGTAAATGTCTGACTGTGAACGAATATCTGTGATTCTATATGGCTGCCTTCTACTTCAATGGGGCTGTGCATTTGGCCTCAACTAAGCTGCAAATTATATTAGTTTTCTCAGTCTTGATTTGACCTAATAAATTAATCTCAACGCCCTTTTCCTTTTCTAAAATGTAGGTCACTTCTCTTACCAGTAATTCTGGGAGGAACTTGTACTAGCAGTGAATTACTGCACACCATTCTGAAATGTAGGTCACTTCTCTTACTAGTAATTGTTGGAGAAACTTTGGCTAGTAGTAAACTTGACTGGCACCATTTTGATGAACGACTGTGTGTTTCATCTATATGGCTGAGTACTACTTCTTCAATAGAGTTGAACATTTGGCCTGAACTAAGCTGCAATTTCTATTAGTTTTGTCAGTATTGGATTTGACCTGATATATTATCCTTGAAAATTTTCCCTTGTGCGCTGTGCTGCTGGACGTATACTAGACATTCACCATTTGCATGATGCTGGGAAAACCGTGGGACCAAACCTTTGACAAGTATTGTCAATATCCAGCAAGTTGTTCATGATATGATGACCGTGCTGTGCCTTTACATGTGCAAGTTTCTATATTGCATATCTCCTTTGCATCAAACGGAAACATGCAGTTCTCGAAGAATCAATGTTCAATCCACCACTTAGCATTCTATTCATTATGAGAACTGACATCATAAATATGTTAAATATATGATACAATGTTAACATATATTCTGAAATGTTAACACTATAATTTAGCACTTTTATTGTTTTTCAAGAGGGCGGTTATGCTTATTTTTATTGTTTTCTGAAAGACAGTGGAAAATTGGAGCATTACTTTCTTGGGAGTCCTGCTAGTTGCTCCTGTTACCATGGATTGTAATAAGTAGGCGTTGAGAATGAATTTCTCGTTTGTTGTTTTGTTTTGTTTTGAAAAAGCGGAAAAGCTTTGCGTCCCGTTGTATTGAAAAGCTACGTTCTGTGCTAATGTACATGCCTAAGCGGGCAGGTACAGAACAAGAAACAGAGCAAAGGAAAGAGCAAAGAAAGGTGCAGACAAGAAACAGAGCAAAGAAAGGGAAAGATGTTGTGTGCTAATGTACTGGGCAGACATGTTATCAGGTACAGCCCTTATCCAAGGTGCAGACATGATGAATGCTTACCACCCTTTGTCCAGTACGTGTGCTTCTGTTTTGGCTTGCTGTTATAGTTGTAAGAAGGGGACGTTACTTCTTACAACACGTTTGCAGCTTGCATCGAAATTCTTAGCGCGTTTGGTGATAATGTTTGTGCCACACGCGCAAACATTTCATTCCATCGAAATTCTTAGCGCTTCCTCATAGAGGAATTCTCCGGACCGGAAAGAAGATGGATTTTGGAATAGAAAGAATTCCTCTTCTAGGTTTCTGCTTCAAGTAGTAAGCAAAGGATCCTACCTGCTAATGGTTGAAGACCTTGGCGGCCTCTAGTTCTTCTATCTTGTTTTTTAGCCTAGCGCGAACGAATAAGCTTAAACAAATGGTTTCTTTGGCAACGGTTTTTTCTAGTTGATTTGTCCTTATATATATTAGCCGTAGCAAAGCCAGTAGCTGTTGGACAAAAATGGTGTGGGGTGGGTTTCCTGCTGATTGTAGGCTAAGCTGTCAAAAACTATTTATAACTGATAAGAGCTCATGATCTGTTTAGTTTGAGAAACAGTTTATAACAGAGATTCCTTGTTTTCTAGCTTGCCAACAACGACCAAAGGAGGACAAAAAAAAACAAAAATGGTGTCATCCTAATTAAGCCATGCATGATCAAGTTCGTCATAAGATAAATAATGGTCACTAAAAAATATGGCTAGCTCTTGTTTTTGTTGAGGAGAAGAAAATTTGAGCTATAAATGCAGGGAGTCAATTCCCGCCTGAGGAACGCGCATTCTTCTTCGCCTCCACTACCATGACAATCGGCAATGGCTAGCACGCCCTGTTCTAGGAGGACAGATTGATCAACAGGCGAGCGGTCTGTGAGGTTGCGCCTCTACTCTACGCTCGCATCCCCAAGCGACGTCGCAAGTCCAGAACTGTTGCTGACGGCCTCCATGCGAACCAATGGGCCACCGACATCCATGGCATGATTGGCATCCCAGAGATTGGCAAATACCTATGCCTTTGGCACATGATCGCCGAGACTACCCTCAGTGACGCGCCGGACTGCATTCGCTGGAAGTAGGTCGTGAATGGCGAGTACTCCGCCAAGTCTGCATGCCTTGCCACCTTCCACGGTTCCACCCGCTGCCAAGCTTGGAGACTCACCTGGAAGTGTTGGGCACCGCCGCGTGTGCGCTTCTTTCATTGGCTTGCCAACCTTGACCATTGCTGGACGACCGACCGCCTAGCGCGACGCAACCTGCCGCACCCACAGCGCTGCCCGCTATGCGGTCAGGCTCCGGAGACGATTCTTCATCTTCTCCTGGGATGCCCTTTCAGCCGACAGGTGTGGCACGAGATCCTCTCATGGCTGCGCCTCTCCTGCCCGCTGCCCAACGATGATGCCACTCTCCACGACTGCTGGCGCTCAACAAGACAAGACACCCCTAAACCCATGCACAAGGGATTGGCTTCCACTGCCTTGCTTGTCCCTTGGATGATTTGGAAGCATCGCAATGGATGCGTTTTTGAGGTCGCCTCCGCGTCGGTTACCTCCGTGATCACTAGGATTAAGGAAGAGGCTGCCCTCTGGGCCAGAGCATGAGCTTTAGGACTCCGCGCCATCCTGCCACAGACTTGGGACGTCCACTAGCTAGTGTGCCTGTACTCATCTTGTAAACTTGCCTCCTAGGAGGATTGTACCAAACTTCTTCTCTTCAATGCAATGAAACGCAAAAGAATTTTGCATTTTCTCAAAAAAAAAGTGTATGGTTGGGACAGAAAGAGGGAGTGTAGCACCCATGTGCTCTGGTCAAGTGCATTTCCCATGGCATGGATATATATTCTATACAATGTGGACACAAACAAAAGCAAACTAGCTAGTTCTAGAATAACATGATTGTATTTTGCTAGTACTAAAAGGTTGTAGACAAAAAACAGAGAGGAGTTAGAAGCCCAGAGAGATGAGAATTGTGAACAACCATATGGGAGTAGGACGCATCAGGGAAGAGTGGAACAGCCACCCAAATGTCTGCAGCCTACAGGGTCCAATGTAGCAACTCCTCGTGCCGCTGCTAATATCCAATTCCTAAGCTCATTGAAAATCTGCAGTACGAACCCGACAGCTGAAGTCACGTTTTGGCTTCGACCGAAAACCCGTGCATTCCTTTGTTTCCAGACTCCAACACACCAATGTCACCAATGTTTCCAGATTGGCATTCCTTTCCTAGTCAGGCACCACCATTGTTCCAGCCGAGCAGTCGGAGAGGGCAACATGTCCAATTGTATCCCTGTTCTAGAGAAGCACTCCATCCAAACTTTTAGCTAGTAGAGTATTAAAAGGTTATAAATAGGAAACATAGAGGATGAGCTAGTGGCTTTGAAAGATTAGAGAAGAATGGAACAAGTCATGAACTAGAAGCATTCTTCAGAGTAGGAGGCATCAGTAACAAGAGGAACATCCATGCAAACATGAGTCACCATAACACAACAGGAGCAGGCTTTCGTGGCCAGGAGTGTGTTCTAACTGATTATTCATGAGCAGGCTTTAATTAGTTTACATTTTGTATCTAACTGATTATTGTCACTACAGGAAAAACATATTTTGCTCTGTGTTTCTTGGTAAGGCGAGTGTGTTCCATTGGGTGCTTGATTTATAGCGCTTTAAGCTGTGTGTTTGCGTCAAGGCACACAGTGAAGAACGGCTCCGGTGACTCGCCCGGATTCAAGGCAAAATAGACTCCATTGATATAAGGTGTATTAGGTTTTTATTTATAAATATTCCAATTTATTCGACTTTGACAAAGTTTAGATGCAAAAATATCGACATCTACAATACTAGTTAAATAAAATATGAATCTCATGATACCGATTTGGTATTACGGATATAGATATATTTTTCTACAAATTTGGTCAATGAAAAGAGGTTTGACTTTTTAAATAACTAATACAACGTATATTTCAAAACAGTGGGACCAAGCTTCTTTTATTAAAAACCCAATAACACCAACGGCGCGGAGCAAAGTCGCACCCAACATTTATAGTGTATATGATGACATAGTTGGGTAATTATGTTTTGTAGATGCAAAATGTCTATCGTCCATATCTGCGATGGTGATGTGTCCATTATTTACTAAATCAACGGCCGAATATTTCCTGATTTTTGTGAGAATTTTAGCCTATTTTTTATTTTTGTTTTGTATTGTGTTTTTAGTAGATATGTAGATAGGTAGATAGATAGATAGTTGAGAATCCCTTGGCGGCTATGGTTTCTCTTTCCCTCCTCCATCTCTTGGCGGCTAGGGCAAACTCTTCTCAGCAGACTTCGCCGGCGAGCACGTGGATTCACCTCTTCTCTGCTTACCGCTCCGGCGGTAGGTGGCGGGGAGGGGAATCCCGGTGCCTCCGCTTCTGTTAGTAGTTTAGGTTAGAGTTTTTTAGTCCTCGTAGGTGCGGTGTTCGGGTGGATGATGGTGCTTCTTCTCCGAGTTTGTGTTCCGGACTTCGATCCTCCTCAAGTTCGTCCATCTGGACGTAGTCAACGGAGCTCCCGCGTAGATTCGTACCGTCTTCTTGGTGTGGTGAGGTTAGGACTTTTGTCGTGTGCCGAGATTTGGCGTGAAGATTTTTCTTCAGTTACTTCACGACACTTCTGAAGAAAAGAGAGAACCGGCGGCGGCGGCCTTGGGGTCTCTGGCCGGCGGCGGCGGGCATACGAGAGTAGGCGTCCACGCCGGCGTCCGGGTGGCAGCGCACGCAAGGAGTGTCTTCTCGTCTTCCTCGGCAGGCGGCAGCGAGCCGCGGAGATCTCGTCCTCGCCCCCCTCAGCGCTGTCCTCCAGTCAGACCAGATCGCCGGCAGCAACATCTACAGCAGATTGCAGCTGCAGCTAGATGGTGAGCATCGGCGAGCTGCGCCGTCGACCATACATCGTGCTCCTCTTCCTAACTCTGCTTTCTTTCTTCCTAATCCCAGGTCCACGCCCAGGCTGCGCCGGTGCGGTAGGGGGTGAGCGGCGGCGTCCTCCTCTGCCATTGCCCGATTCTTCCAAATCCGAGGTGGGGCTATGAGCCGCCGCGTCGTCCCCGTTGGCAGGCGCATCTTGGAGCAGAACATCAAGGCTCGGTACCACGCCAGAGACATTGGCACCGAGGATGCACTCCACCTGTTTGACGAATTGCTCCCGTATGCTGGGCGCTCCTCCATCCATGCCATCAACTGCCTCCTCACCGTTGTCGGCCGTGATTGCCCTGCGCTCGGCGCCTCCCTCTTCAACCGCGTCGCAAGGTCCAAGGTGGCACCCAGCAGTATCACCTATGCCATTCTGGTCGACTGCTGCTGCCGCGCTGGCCGCCAGGACCTTGGACACACTGCCATGGGACAGGTCATCAAGATGGGGTTTCTTGCAGATGCTATGATCACTTTCAGCCACCTACTCAAGGCCATCTGTGCGGAGAACAAGACCAGCTATGCAATGGACATCCTACTCCGAATAATGCCCATGTTTAACTGCGTACCGGATGTCATCTCCTACAACATTCTTTTCAAGGGTGACTGCAACGAGAAGAGAAGCCAAGAGGCTCTCGAGCTGATTCAGGTGATGGTTGAGCATGGAGGTGGCTGCCAACCTACTGTGGTGTCCTATAGCACCGTAATTGATGGCTTGTTGAAAGAGGGTGAGGTGAACAAGGCTTACAGCCTATTTTGTCAAATGTTACAAAGGGGAATTTCACCGGATGTTGTGACCTGTAGTTCAATTATTTCTGGCATGTGCAAGCTTCATGCGATGGACAAGGCTGAGGAGGTTCTTCAACAGATGCTTGATTGAGGAATTCTGCCAAATGTTGCTACATATACTAGTCTAATACATGGATATTATTCATTAGGACAGTGCAAGGAGGTGGATCGGATTTTCAAAGAAATGTCTAGAAATGGTGTTCAACCAGATATTGTAACTTATAATATACAGATGGATTATCTTTGCAAGAATGGAGGATGCGCAGAAGCTAGGAAATTTTTTGATTCCATGATCAGTTTGGGCCAAAAACCGACTGTTACTACCTACAACATTCTGCTTCATGGGTATGCTATGGAAAGATCTTTTCATGATATGAATTGTCTCATTGATTTGATGGTAGGAAATGGTATTGCACCAGATCATAATGTCTACAACATACTCATATCTGCATATGCTAAAGAAGAAACGGTTGGTGAGGTAATGCATATATTTACAAAAATGCGGCAGCAAGGATTGAACCCTAATGCAGCGAGCTATGGAACGGTAATAAACTTACTTTGCAGAATTGGCAGAATGGATGATGCTGTGTTGCAATTCACTCAAATGATAACGGAAGGATTAACTCCTGATATCATAGTTTTCACCCCCCTTATTAGTGGTTTTTGTGCGTGTGGCAAACTGGAGAAGGTTCATGAACTATTTTCTGAGATGTTGGATCGCGGCATCTATCCTGATACCATGTTCTTCACCACAGTTATGGACCGCCTTTGCAAAAATGGAAGGGTTATGGAAGCCCGAGATATCTTTGATCTGATGGTACACATGGGTGTAAAGCCTGACGTGCGTAGTTATGCCACACTGATGCATGGATACTTTTTAGTTGGTAAGATGGACGAAGTGAGGAAGTTACTTGACAATATGTGCTCAATTGGCATGGAACCAGATGTTGTCACCTATAGCATACTGATTGATGGTTACTCTAAGAATGGAAGGATAGATGATGCATTTGTTGTTTTCAAGGAAATGTTGGAAGGGAAGGTTAAGCCTTGTGTTATCACTTTTACTATTATGATTGGTGCGTTGCTTAAATGTGGCAGGAAGGAAGAAGCCAAAGATTTGTTTGATGGTATCTGGGCCAATGGATTAGTGCCCAATGTTATTACATATAGCTTAATGATACAAAACCTTATAGAAGAAGGTTCTCTACAAGAGTCTGATGATCTCTTCCTTTCTATGGAGAAGAATGGGTGTGCTGCTGACTCACGTATGCTAAATGCTATAGTTAGAAGGTTACTTCAGAGAGGGGAGATGCCAAGGGCTGGGACTTATCTGTCTAAAATTGACGAGGGGAGCTTCACCCTTGAAGCTTCCACAGCTGGCTTATTGACTGCGCTTGCTTCAGGGGGGAAATGTCAGGAATATAAGGGGTTACTGCCTGAAAAATATCACTCTTTTCTGGAACAGGGCACTGATTGAAACCTTCTCCAAAGATTTGTCCTAGATACTCTGAACTGCTAATCGAGGCATGAACTTTTCTTTATGGGTTACATCTCCCAGGCTTTTCTTTTCGTAATATGTCTAAGTTGGAAGTCACTTCTCTTACTAGTAGTGAATGTCTGACGGTGCACCATTCTGATGAACGAGTATCTGTGTTTCTATATGGCTGCCTTGTACTTCAATGGAGCTGTTCATTTGGCCTCCACTAAGCTGCAGTTTATATTAGTTTTGTTAGTCTACTGTAATGATGTATATATTCTAGATATTCACAATTTATTTTAGTTTTGTTAGTCTACTGTGATGATGTTTACAGCTGATTATGATATGATGACCGCGTTGTGCCCGTGGACTCGCTGAAGTTGCTAGCAGCAATTTAGTTTATATATTCCCTTTCTTTAGATTTGAATGGAAACATGCAGTATAGACGATTTTTTGGTGAACATTGATCAACATATCTGTCACGTGATTATTCATTGGGTCCATTGGATATGTTATCAACTATATTTTTTGGCGAACTGATCAAATGTCATATAGACCATTTTTTTTCTTGATCTATATATAGGGAAGTACGTACAATATGTGTAAACAAGGTTGTCTCTCTTTAGTGACATATAAGTATTAACTTGTCCCAGTTCTCTTCTTGTAAACTGATGTTCTGGTACAGAGGCACAAACTGAGGTACCAGATTCTAGCATCTTTACTCCTGCTTGTTTTTCTTCAGTTTTTGGGTGGTTTTACTAGGACTTTTGGGTGTTAAATACTTTGGACTCATAGGTGGTGATGTTTCTTCAATTTTCTGAATTTTTTTATATCTGTCTGGTTTTATTGTACAGCAGTTCAACAATAAAAAATTACAGTGGCAATAAAAGTTATTTTTGTGTGATTTTGCTCATGCCATTTACAAATCAGTTTTAAAACTTTGGTGTAATATTCAATACTTCTATTCCAATTTGTGTACCTTTGGTGCGAGTCACAGGCCGCCATTATTGAGATGAAACTGGTGTGTTGCTGTGTTTTATTACATTATATGAGAATAAACGTTTCTGGTGTATTAGGTATCTGCTCTCAATTTCATACTTCTGTGCTTTTCGGTATCTGCTCTTTTCCATGGTAATCATTCGGTAATAAAGTCGACAGGTTGGCTGAAAATTTCAACCTCTAATACGAATTAGCAAATTTCATGCTGAGTTTCCTAGCAGTTCAGCACCACATTATACTGTAAGAGAGTAATAATTAAGTTCTTTCGATGCAATATTGGGATAGTGACACTTGAGCAGAGCGGCATGCATGGAGAGGAAGGATGATGCTTGCTTTTTTCTCACACTTTTGCTAGAACTGTTGCCACTTCCTGCTATATCTAGGAGATTATTTTATGAACAGCATAACTAATACAAATGAATGGTGCTTAAATTAACTGTGTTACGACAGTTGCTGGTGAGCCCTGCTCTGTTAAATTTCGCCTTTGTGGATCTGCCTGTTGCTATCCATCAAACAATTAATAATTGACCTTGTAATCGACACATCTGCCTCCCATCTTTTTCAGAAGGTTGTGAGCACATGAGTCAGAATAAGCCTGACAATTTGTTCGGTCGTCAGCAACTGTGGCTGTAACTTTTGAACAGTGTGATGTGTTGCTGAAATTTGGTCAGACACAGTTGTGTCAATCCCCTTTGTCTGTCATGTCATGCATATTTATTGGCTACATATGTTTCCTAAAAGATAGGAAAATTTAAACTTTATACTCCTTCGCGGGAGCCCTGCTAGTTCATCTACCTATGTATGAATCGACGTATGACCGTGATGAAGGCTTAGAATGTGCAGATTACAGGTGTAAGAGATGCTGGTGCTCTAGCGATCTGTGGAGAGTAGCACTGCAAATGACCACAAACAACGGTAAGTTAAACTGCCAAAACTATTTATAATTGATAAGAGCTTCTGAGAGGAACTGTTTAGAACAGTGGCACGGAAATTCCTTGATTTGTAGTTTGCCAGACGGCTTTGTTTGCGGAAAATGACCAATAAATAATGGTCACTCTATAATTAATACGGCACTCGAAGAAAAACAATTGAGCAGACAACAAAGGGGAGCTATGGATAAAGTGACAAAATCCAGAGTAGGGAACCTGGGGTTTTGTGGTGAGTGCTCTCTCCAAGGCCGCCTTTTTTGACCGCAAGGAGTGCAGTCTCCATTATATGACAGTCGTGAGACCGCAGGGGAGGTTCTTGATTTCTGAAATCAAAGGACTTGTTCATTGTGGGAGGTACTACTACTTAGACTAGTAGCATTAAATAAAGGGATGCTTGTTCATTGTGGGGCACAATTGGTGGGGCATGGACCCTGCTTCAAACATTGTTTCTATCCCGTACCTCTCTCCAGGGCCGCAGGGGAGGTTCATTGTGAGGCCTGAGCAAATCTCGAGCTTTTTAACTTGGGCATGTACCCCTCACATATACCAGTAGAAAAAATTACTGAGGCATGGGAATCTCATTTCACCGCTAACAATGAGCTGTCCTTCACACATTCTTTCTTCTATTAGTGTCTGAGCGAGGAGCGCCGGGATGCCTCCAAGGATGCAGAGGTCTTCATACCTGACTCTCTGCAGTTCAAACTGTAATTGCTGAAGGTTGATGAGGGAACCCATCCAATTTGGAACCTGTGGGAAGGTTGACCGCCTGGTCATAAGTTTTTAGAGCCAACCGGAGCAGGGCACCATTCTTCCAGTAATAATCTGGAATCACAATGCCAGATAAATAAAGGGTGAAGATTGTGTGTGTCTAGTTGATAGAGAGAAGATGCAATCACTTTTTTGCACTCCTCATCAGTATCTTCAGTGGCCTCTTGATCAATATTCAGCAGCTTCCACATATTCTGTAGCTTGCCAAAATCTTGAAGAAATTGAATTGGCCGCTTAAAGGCTCTGACCTGTTTTCAAGGTATCTAGTGCTAATTGCATCTTCTCAATTCCTTCTTAAGGAAATTTAAGAGTACAAACTCGCCAACCAATAGATGCACCAATTTTTCTAGATTAATTAAAGATAGACGATGATAAATTAGTTGCCTATGTGACATCTCTAAGCTATTGATAGATGTCCTATTCCTTCTGGGAGCTCGCATATTCCTGTCCAAGAGATGTTCAGGTACCTCAACTGGAATAACCTACCAATATTTACTATTTAGATAGATGATTGTCTTCCAAATTATGGAAGGTCAAGATAATCTGGGAGGTGTTTAGCATATGGCCACATTGTGACTTTGTATCTTCAAATCTTTTTTCTTGGGCCGATCAAGCACCGTTTCTTACACCCACGCATGGACACAACACAGCTTCGTCCATGCATCACACTAGAGCATGTCTGCACACTTGGTTGTTGCGCCCTTCACTTACATGGAGGCACACCCCGTGTAGCCCAAGCAACTCTCTAACCATAGCACGCATAGGGCGGTAACAAAGGTAGGAGAGCACACGAGTGACTTGTATGTTTATGATGAAACAGAAACAGAGTGTCAGCCAACACAGGAGTTTTGTTGACACTCATGATGAAACTGTGTCAGCGATTAGCAAACACAGGAGTTTTGGTGTCAATGCATGTAT